CACCTGGAGGCCTGTGAGGTAACTGAAAGAGGGCACCTGGAGACCTGTGAGGTAACTGAAAGAGGGCACCGGAGTCCTGAGAGGTAACTAAAAGAGGACACCTGGAGGCCTGCACCTGGTCTGCCCTGACTTTCCCTATTTTAATCCGCATGAAACTGCTAACAATTCACGAGCTCTATAAGTTCATTTAGCAAATCATGGAACCTGAGAACAGTCTTGAGGTGCAGCAACAGTCACCATTTACAACCAATGGCTCAGTCTAGCATCCCTTTTACCCTTCATGAAGCACCTCTCACTTCTGAAACTGGAACTGAATACAATATACTCTGTTGGCTGTTCCCTCTCAGGCTCCTTTGCCACTTTCTCCTAAGCCACCTACAATCTTAATAAACATCACTGGTTGCAATATTAATGAACTCCTAATTGTTCTGGATTGACAGTGAGGCAAACGTATGCCCTGGAACTGAGCAATAAATCCTACCTCAGCCCCAGAATTTCAGTCCCTTTGGATCACTTGTGTCAACTACTTGGTTCTATGTGGACTTCCTCTTCTCCCTTATCCAGTGTTTCCTACAGTATCTGCTTCATTGTGGAGAATCATAGATGCAGTCACTCAACATCTTTCGTGATAACTACATCTATGTACCAACTGCCATGCTGGGGAGGAAGATGCATACGGGGATCTCTACTCTCAAGATGCTCTCAATGTACCAAGGAGATGAAGTACACAAGGGTGGCCTGTCATGACCACAACAGCAGAGTTCCAAAACAACTTCAGAACCTGGCACTGCAAGCCACCAGAACAGCAGTTTCCAACCTACCTCCTTACTTCAGCTGTTAAGCAGACAATGTGCTCCTGCATTCTGCGCAGCCGGATTTCATAACGTACCCCTTTGGCTTGTGGATTGTAGTTCCTGGTATAAAAGCCCCGCCAACAGGCCTGAAGCTTAGTGGCAGCTGCATTTAGTTGCTGGAGGGTGACTTTATCTTGTTCCAAAGCAACAGGTCTCTGGGTAAAAATTCTGCAGGGAAATTTCTCTGAGGTGGTAGGAGACATGGCTTCTTCACTGTTTGGTTCTATGTGGGGCTCAGGAAAAGATGTAAGTCCACGATTATCCTCCGTCAAGATAGCATTGGTGATCACTGACTTGGGACGAGGCAACAGCCCAGCTTTCTCACTTATTCCTGTACTGACCTTACTTTTCAGCAGTTGAGCAGAACTCTTTTTTGTGTCCCATAAAGACTTTTCCTTGTCCTTATCTAAATCCTGGTTTTCTAGCCCTTTCATGGATTCATCTGCAACATCATCATCATCTTCCAGGCCCAAGTTAATACCCTGTAGCCTCAGTTCAACAGTGGGTGACACCGGAGACAGTCCTGATGCAACTGGCATAAAAGTGGACTCTGAAGAGAGCATACTACAGTTTAGCTTGTCCTCATCTGTCTGTATATCTTCCAGGTGAAGGTCATTCCGAGAGTATCTTGTAGTGTGTGCAGAAGCCGGGAAGTTACTCTTAATAGCATATAATTGATCATCATTACTGCTCATCCCAACCCAAGAATTGATTTGGAGGATGGGTTCTAGAAGAATCAAGAGAGCACCATTAAATCACCAAATATTTGAAAAGCCTTCTTAACTGTATACTTAACCACTTTTTATATTTATTTAGGTACTGTGTATGTGTGACTGTGTGTGTGTTTGTGTGAAGAAAATAGCAGATTCCTTATAAAAGTAGAGTTACAGTTGGTTGTGTCTATAGTTCCAGGGGATCTGATGCCCTCTTCTCACCTTCACAGACTCCTATATGTATGTCACATACATATAAACACTCTCACATACATACATAAAGCAAGTATTTAAAGAAAGAAAGAGAAACAGAGAGAGAAAGAAAGAAAGAAAGAAAGAAAGAAAGAAAGAAAGAAAGAAAGAAAGAAAAAAGGAAGAGTGTTGAGTCATGAGGATTTAAGGCAAGCTTGAGACCAGCCTGGGAGCTACATGATGAGTTTCAGACCAGTCAGAGCTACAATGAGAGACCTTGTCAGAAACTGTTTTATGACCCAGTAAGTCAAATGAGTTGAAAAGTAGTGCAGCAGGTGTTTCTTAGGCACTGGGTATGATGAGTTCCTTACCGCTTTCCTGGAACTCTTGGACAGGGCTGGAACATTCAGGTGAAAGGGGCACCTTTGTTTCAACAGGAGCAAGAGGAGACAGCTCTTCATTTTGGCTTTGGTTCATCAGCTGCCTCTGGTGAAACCTAAAAAATCAATAATGTCATCTAACACAAACTAAGGAAAAGCTCTCCTGCTACCTAAGTTAACAGTGTTAAGACAGAAGCTTAACACTGCCAGGGGCATCTTTAGCCACTGGCAAACTATAGTATCCTTTGAATGCATTGTGTAAAAAAGGTTAGGTTTTTTTTAATTGTTAGACAGAGATGGGGATGGCAACACATGCCTATAAACCCAGCACTGTGGAGGTAGAGGCCACAGAATCAGTTGTTCAAAGTCACCCTCTCCAACATAATGAGTTGAAGGTCAATCTAGTTTATAGGAGAAGACCCTGTTGTAATCTACACAATTAACTGTCCACATGACATTATATGAACACAATTTCATATGCAAAAACACTGAAAGATGCTTTGTTAATATTAGCACCCAACATGCTACATGAGGCACCTACACTAAAAGGCCAAGTACTTTTCTTCAAATGTTAAGGCTCAAACCTAGGCCTCCTACATGCAAGGGCAAATCTACCACTAGGCTATGACCTTGGCATTGACAAATATCCCATTCTTCTGTTATCATATTGTTTGGTTCTCCCACCCAAGAAATGATTGGCAAAGAAACTTCTGAGGAACAAGCCACACTGTGTAACTCAGCTTCTCCGCAGTGACACAGGGCCCAAGTGTTCCAATGTGTGCCTTCCACCACAGGAAGTCTGAGCTACCTTCACCTCCAAATCCCTCAGCTGATACAAATAAACAAACGGGCTTACCTCTGTTTGCTCAGAATCTTCTCAAGTTTGGCATCCTCTGCAGTTTGAAGACCCAGTGCAGAAATAAGAGGACAGACTGTAGCCAGGTACTGAACTAGCTGGACATGCTGGCCAGGCCGATATGCTCTTCCCTTGCCTTGACTATAGAGCCATTCCGCCTTCAGACTGGGGAATAAGGAAGAGGTAACAGCACAAGGGTGGTCAATACATTGTTAAGAGACAGTGATCTTCCTTGTGAATCTACTCTACAAAAACCACTGTTTTCCTTTTCTTTTTTTTTTTTTAAGATTTATTTATTATTTATATAGCATTCTGCCTGCTCACCAGAAGACAGTACCAGATCTCACTGTAGATGGTTATAAGCCACCATGTGGTTACTGGGAATTGAACTTGGGACCTTTGGAAGAGCAGCCAGTGCTCTTAGCCTCTGAGCCATCTCTCCAGCCCCCTTAGGTTTTTCATAAAAAAAGATTACTCAACTTTACTTACTTGGTTTTAGTCAATTTTGAAGGGTGTTGGTGGTGATGTGTGCGCACGTGTGTGTGCATATATGTGTATGTGGTTTTGTTTAATTTTGTTGTTGCTTTTGGAGACAAGGTCTCAAGTAGCCAAGGCTGGTCTTGAACTTGCTATAGCTGAAGCTAGCCTTCCTGGCTCTACCTCCAAAGTATTGTGATTACTGACTTGTTTGATGTTTTAAGGTACTAAAAAATTAGAGCAGGCTGACGGTGTAGTTTAGATGATAGAGCACTGGTCTAGCATGTATGAAGCCCTGGATTCAATCCCCAGGACCATATGAAGCCAGCATAGAAGCAGGCCTGGAATCCTGCCTCTGAGGTGGTGAAGGCAGGGAGATCAGATCATCCTTGGCTACACAGAGACCTCAAGAACAGCCTGGATGAGGTTAAGAACACCGGCTGTTCTTCCAAAGGTCCTGAATTCAATTCCCAGCAACCACATGGTGGCTCATAACCATCTATAGCGAGATCTGGTGCCCTCTTCTGGTGTGTAGATACACATGCAGGCAGAAAGCTGTATAAATAAATCTAAGAAAGAAAAAAAAAAAAAGCAGCCTGGGGGTACATAAAACCCTGTCTCAATATACTATATGCCTCCTGATTTACTATTATTTTATTTTTAATATGAATGTATAGGGCCAGTAAGATAACTAAGCAGGTAAATGCACTTGTTATTCAGACCATTATAATGAACCCCTGAAACCTACATAGAAAGCCAGATTCTGTAATCCCAGAATTCTACTGCAAAATGAAGAGGTAGAGGGATTCATCCAAGATCTTATACTATATCCATAATGTGGTTTCTAGGAAAGAGTGCTACCATCTCCAAGCAATCAACAAAAGAACTTTTAGGAAGTAGTTTTTGTAAGGTTCGGATTTAGACTTACTAGTCCCAACCTCTAGAGCTAATATTCACTGGTTTTCACTTATTTATTTTTATTTTATATGTATGGGTATTTTGCCTGTATGTGTATCTATGTACCACATGCACTTGAAGGACATAAGAGGGCATAGCGTCCCCTAGAACTGGAGTTACAGCTGGTTGTGGGTTACCACGTGGACACAGGGAATGGAACCCAAAAAAAGCAGCCAGTGCTCATATCTGCTGAGCCATCTCTCCATCCCACCCACCCCTTTTTTTATATATACTTGTTCCATAGTTGAGTATGATTTTGAATTTCTGATCTTTCTGCTCCCATCTCTCCAGTGGCAGAATCACAGGCATACAGCACCATGGCCAGTTCTATGAGAAAACCAGGACTCTAAGTCTCACAGTGAAATGAAGCTTGCTCTTTGCTAGCTACCCAGCAACCCACCCATTTCTGACCCCCTCTCACCCAGTCCCTGAACTACAGGTACGAGAAGCTATACTTGGCTTCTTATATGGCTTCTATGAATTCAAACTCAGGTCCTCGTGCTTGCCGAGCAAGAAGCTTCAAACATGGGAGGCAAGCACTCTACTGAGTTGTATTCCCTAACCCTGGGGCTGGGTCTTACATAGCACAGCTGTTCTAGAACCAACAGTTCTAGATCCTAGGATGTATCCTAGGATGACAATGACCTCCTAATTCTTCTGCCTCTATTTCTCAAGTGCTGGGATTATTGGCATGTGCACCACACCTGGCTCCCAGCCTTGATATGTATTTTCGGTCCTTTGTAGGAAAGGAGGGAGAATCCTAAATAACCAACATTTTTAACTTCTAAACACACACTTTAAAAAAATTAAATGATTAGCAAGATGGTGGTGGTCCAAACCTTTAGTTCTAGTACTCAGGAGGCAGAGGCAGGTGGATCTCTGAGTCGAAAGTCTACAGAGCAAGTTCCAGGACAGCCAGGGCTACAAAGAAAAAGCCTGGCTCAAAACAATGAAAAACAAACAAGCAAAATCAACAATCTGTATCAAACTAGAAAAGGTCTTTCCCAAAACTTTCTTGATTGATACCATGTTAAACAAATTATATTGTTTACCTTTCCTTCTGAGAAATCACATATCCATCTAGTACTCTGAGATTTAAACACCAGCTGACAATGTACGGCCGATAGTCAAACCCTGGAATGGATGGGGTTGCCATCACACAAGGATTGTTCATAATTGACAACTGCTCCAATTCACTTAAAGAGGCCAAAAACGAGATCTACAACAAAAGACATCTTTGTTGAGCAAAATGAATGGTTAGTGTCAAGCACAGGGTTTCCGCTGATTACATAACTTTGGCAGCATTTGAGAATGTCACAATTTCCCTCTTGTTCTAAAAAGTATCAAGCAATAGTCTACTATTAGCCACTGACTTCCAAAACTCTAAAAACCTGACCATTTGTCCTTGCTGAACAACAGAAAAGTATCAGCACTATTTCCTAGTTGAGAAAACTGTATTTATTTTTCTTTGAGGCAGGGTCTCATTTAGCCCAGGCTGACCTTTAGCTTCTAATTCTCCTGCCTCCATTTACCAAGCACTGAGGTTACAGACATGCAAGAATATACCTGGCTTGAGAAAAACCCTATTTAAATGTAACAGCAGCCAAGGAAAGGTGGACAGGTATATTATTGGCCCCTATATTTCTGATCTTCCTGCTTCCTCTCCTGATGCCTCTCTCTTCTACCAATCACCAGTGTGATGATAACTGAAGCATTAAAACTGAAATTCAGCCTGATGACCTGCCAGTGTTAAGAACAAGTAGGAAAAAAAATAATGGTGCTCTAGGGCCAAGTGTTTCACGGTGGCAGCATTTTCTCCCAAGATAGTCACAGTCTAAAAGTGAGCTCCAGAAACTCTCCTGTCTCTCCTGGACTTCCCCACAGAGTAGCTTCAATTTTTTACCTCATTTAAGTCTCGGATTTCATTTTCTGCCAAAGACAATATAGAGAGACTTCTGGGTAGATAAGCAGGAGCCATTCTAAGAGAGGTGATGATGTTTCCATGTAAAAGCAAGGTCTTGAAAGAAAAAAATTACAGATTAACAATATATAAATATACTGACAGCCAGGTGTGATGGCACATGCCTTCAATCCCAGAGGCAGGCGGATCTCTGAGTTTGAGGCCAGCCTGGTCTACAGGACTAGGACAGCCAGGACTACAAAAAGAAACCCTGTCTTGAAAAGCCAAAAAATTAAAAATAAAAAAATAAATAAATAAATTGACTTGACAATGCCAAAATGGTGCCTGCAAGAATAAAGAGATTCTTTTGTTATACTTCTCATCACACATAATTCAAAGATTAATACTTTGAAGGTGCCTAAGTGATCTTTGATCCAACCAAGGTTTAAGACTTACACAAGAACACAGTTGATGTAGTACCTAGCTATACTGTGATGCACTAGCATGCTATACAATTTAAGTTAATACACAAAGCAATCTCCAACATAGTTATTGGTTTCTTTCTAAAATATCAAAATAAGATGGGTGTGATGGCACATGCCTTTAATCCCAGCACTGGGGAGGCAGAAGCCACCCTGGTTTATAGAGTAGGTTCCAAGACAGCCAAGGCTATACACAGAAACCCTGTCTCTTAAAACCAAAAACCAAACCAAACCAAACAGCAGAAACAAAAAGCCCACATCAAAAGAAGGGCTGGTACCACATGGTGGTGGCACATGCTTTTAATGCCAGCACTCAGGAGATGGATCTCTGAGTTCAAGACCAGCCTGGTCTTCAGAGTGAGTTTCAAGACAGCCAGAGCTACACAGAAAAACCCTGTCTCAAAAAAAGGGTGATGGGGGCTGGATACCTAGCTTGGCACATAAGTGTTTGCTTTACAACCATGAAAACCTATAATCAAGTCCCCACACCCACGTAAAAAGCTGGCAATGGTAGCTCATATTTATGACCTAACACTGAGGGGTAGAAATAAGTGGATTTCTAGCCAGCCAACAGCTAAAAAAGTGAACTTCTGGTTCAGTAAGAGAATATTTCAAAGTAATCAGGTAGAGAAGGGTTGGAAGATGCCCAACATCCTATTCTACCCTCCACATGTGCACACATATGTTCATCCACACTCATGTCATGTACTACACTCACATCTAACACACACATATACTCAAATACACACACGTGCACATACCCGTAAAATAAAAACAATCACATAGAAAGCAAATTTGCTAAAGAGACAGATAAACCACAATTCATTCTTTACAACATTTTTGGCTTACTAGAAGCCAACCAAAAGCAGAAATTGTCGCTCGCAGACATGGCTGACTCATATTAAGTCAGTAATAATAAAGAATAAGTCCAAGGGGTGAAGTAATGTTTCAGTGGCTAAGCCTGCTTACTGCTCTTGCAGAGGTCTAGGTTTAGTTGCCATAACAGTGGCTCACAACCACCTGTGACTGCAGCTCCAAGTTATCCAATACGGGCACAAAGCCACACACATACACATAAATAAAAGAAGTCTTTTAAAAAGAATAAGTCTAAGATACTGTAAACATTCAGGATTCTGTTTAGATATTCATGCATCCATTCCAGGGGGGGGAAAAAAGGTATAACAAAAAAGAAAAATGCACCAGGTGCAGTGGCACACGCCTGTAATCCCAGCACTCAGGGAGGCAGAGGCTGGCAGATCTCTGTGAGTTTGAGGCCAGCAAGGCCTACAAAGCAAGCCCAGGACAGCCAAGAGAAACCCTGTCTTGAAAAAAAAACAAAAGTCAAAAAAAGAAAAATGTACAAAATATCCAATCATCTTTAGCTCCTTTGAATTCTCTTAGCATTTAGCGGGAGAGCTGCAAACCTTGCTTAGAATTATTGTTGTTATAAAATGATTTCTGGTCAAGAGGTAGAGAAAATAGACCTTCAGATTCTACTTTGAAGGCTTGAAAAATCTAATAATATTCAATTAAGAAAAAAATACAGGAAAAAAAAACTCTACATATGATTTTGGTTTAGATTTTATTATTTATTATGTATGTAGGTGTTTTGCCTACATGTATGTGTGTGAACCATGTGTGTGCCTGGTGCCTATGGAGACCAGAAGAGGGAATTAGATCCCCTGAAACCAGGATTACAGATAGTTGTTAGCTACTGTATGGTACTAGGAATCAAACCAAGCTCCTCTGGCACAGCAGCCAGTGCTCTTAACAATTGAGCCATCTTTCCACCCTCCACATTTATTAATTGAAATTGATTCTATTAATTAAGTTATACTTAGTATTAAAACAGTATCCTCCAGAATAGGAAAAAAGAAACACATAAACAAAACCACACACCAGACAGATGGACAAAGAAGCAAATGAATCACTTGAGCCCAGGAGTTCAAGACCAACCTAGACAACAAAGTGCTACCTCATCTAAAAAAAAAACAAAATAAAGCTGGGCTAGGTGGCATACGCCTTTAATCCCAGCACTCAGGAGGCAGAGGCAGGCAGATCTCTGTGGGTTTGAGACAAGCCTGGTCTACACAGACAGTTCCAGGACACACAGACAGACAGACAAACAGATGGAACTACATAACAGAGAGACCCTGTCTCAAAAAACAAAGAAAAAACAATACTCATTTATGATGGATTGCTATCAAACTTTACCATTATATACTCACGAAAGCCCATAGCATTTGACCCTTTCAAAAATGAGAAAGAGAAAGAGATCTTGATATACAGTACACAGCAGGCTGAGATTATACCAATGAGAACACATTTTTTGCAATTCTTTATAATTGTGGCAATTTTTAAGAAGTGGCAGAAGACTCACTTACCTTCAAAGATACCAACTTCGATAGATCACCTATCTGGGGTATGTTATTGTCTGACAAATCAAGGTGTTGTAGAGCTGCACAGCTACTTATTTGTTCCATGGTCTATTACAAGAAAAGCATCACATCATTCAGTGCACTTAACATAAACAAACAAAATGGTCCCCTAACTCTTTGTAGCTGAGCCTCCTCTTGAAACTAGAAGCAGAGCAATGGAGATAAGCATGAGAAAGGGAGAGCAAAATTTAGAAAAAAGCCATGATGCAAGCTTCCAAGACTACCAAGCAATTCATACTGTCCCAAATACTTATAGCCCAAAGAAACTTCAGTGGGATCTAACTCTTAGTAGAGAAAAGAATTTACACATTTAGGATGAAAACAAACAACCCACATTAAATTCTGGCTCTGTGGTCAGGGGGGACAAGAGTAAAGCAATGTCTTCTAAAGATACCACCGGCGCATTGCACTCATGAATGCACAGCAGCTGTGGTTATCCGTACAAGGCCCACAAAAGAGCAAGCCAAGCAACATTCAGCAGAGAGGCAGAAGCCCCACCCCTGAGGACCTATGGACAGCTAATGGCTTCCTTAAGAGTGTGGCCCCTAGTAGGTCAACCATGGTCCAGTGAATGGCGCTACACCCAGGAGTACATGGACAGCATAAACTGGACTTGACGGGTTATTTTAAAAAAGAGAAAGACATCAACTTGGGTAAGGAGGTGGGGACAGATCTAGAAAGAGTTAGAAAAGAAGTGTTAAATGAATATGATCAAAATTTTCTGTATTTGTATGAAATCCTATAAGAATAAATATTTTTTTTTAATTTTGGGCTCTGCAACTTCTTGGATGTATGAGCTGGGACAGGTTATTAACTTTTCTGTGATTCAGTTGTCCTATCTCTGTAATAAGCATAATAACTATACCTAAGGTCTCACAGGCTCACATGAGCTTATTACACACCAGGTGCTTAGAGAAGGACCTAGCATAAGGTAGGTGCTCAGTAGAGCATTATCATTATCATTTACTCTAGTCCCCTCATCTAGCACATCAGAAAATAAGATATAGAAATGGTTATTAACTTATCCAAAATTATTCAGTCCCTATGTGGCAGGAGTAGGAGTAGATAGAATCCAGATCTCTTGACTTTGACAAACCTTTTTCCATTTACCATTAAAAATTTACTTAAAATTTAACTCCGTGGGAAAGAATCTCTTTCCCCATCATTCTAGCATTTTATTTAATTTTCAAGTATAATGTAGATTGTCTATTCACATTTAAAAGTATACTCTAACCTGATAGACTAGGATCAGAAGGAAGAGGAGGAAGACCTTCCCTATCAGTGGACTGGGGGAGTGGCATGGGTGGAGAAGGACGGAGGGTGAGATTGGGAGGGGAGGAGGGAGGGACCTACAGGGGACATACAAAGTGAATAAATTGTAATTAATAAAAATTAAAATTAAAAAAGCATACTCTACTGTAGCATATATTTCAGAATGGGGCATGTTCAAACTTTCTGTTGGCACAGATCGTAAAAGCAGACATTTTCATTTTTATAGTCTACTTATATCTATACTTGCCAAGTTTCTTTTTCACAAAGAACAGATTAGCAACAACAACAAAATAATCTCAAAAATTAATTACGGAGAAAAAAAAGTCATTCACCTTCAGATTATTTCCTGCTAAATTCAGCCATTCCAGATGGACTAGGTCCTTCAGCCCTTCCATGCACCCAATACTGTTATGAGGTAAATTTAATACCCGGAGTTGAGTTAGTTTGGCCACACCCATCATCCGAACCAGCCGGTTATTAGCCACTGAGAGCTGTGAAAAAAGGAACATTATTATTCCAGGAAACAAAATATATATGTCCATACATATTACTTTCACATTATGGTAAATGGTCAAACATTCCCAAATACACAAACCTAATTTATACTTATTATACATATCATTTACATATATTACCGACAAATATAAACTGGAATTTGCCTATTAGACGGGAAGGAACCATGTGTAGTACTATAAACCCAGTTGAAAGCCCATGGGGGGGGGGGGGAGAACAGAAGCCCAGTGAAGAAGCTACTGGTGTTTTTTGCTAATGGATACAATGTACCTGTAAATTTGCATCCTAAATAAATATATATGCACCCCCAGAACAATGCTGCAGGCAGCTTTACTCAAGGAAGCATCTTTTGCAGTAGTTATTAGTGACTGCAGAAACTCAGGAGTGATCAAACTGCAGGAAGTAAGTAGCTGTTAAATGCCCCGCCGTAAATGGGGCATCTTTAACATCTCCTCCAAGCCTTGAGGAGCACAGTGGAAGAAGGGCAGAAGGAATGTAAGAGCTGGAGGAAAGAGGTGAGAGAAAGGTGACTTTTGGGTATTACATGGCTGTTGTACTCTTAAACTCAAAGTAGTACAAGATCTCTAAGGCTTCGCTCCTCCACAAGCTGGAGGCAAGGAGAGGAGCTTGGAAGATCCTACCCCTCCCTGAGTTAGTGGTTTATGGAGGAAGGAAAGACACTTTCAGTGTCTTCAGTGCCGTAGCCACTGGTGTCTATGCGCCTGTAAACAGATTCTCAATCATGCCCCTCATGAAATTCACTAGGTCACAAAAAGAGACGTCGTCAGGAAGAAGGAGGAGGAAGAGGGGAGGAGCAGAAGACACGAAAAACTAGTAGGAAGATGGGCGTGGTGGCACACACCTTTAATCCCAGCACTTGCATGGCAGAGGCAGGAGGATCTCTGTGAGTTCCAGGCCAGCTTGGTCTACAAAGCAAGTCCAGGACAGCCAGGACTTGATACATAGAGAAACCTTGTCTCAAAGAACCAAAACAAACAATAACAACCACAAACAGTAGGGGCCACTTGAGAAGAGAAAGGGGATTAGGGAGAGTGGGAAGGAAACAAGAGAGTAATGGAAATGAATATATCAATATATGTATATACGTATTCAGGAAAAGTGAAACACAGCATTATGCATAATCAATGTATGCTTACACATTTTAAAATAGAGATAAAGCTGAATAAGACTTCTGTCAAGTATACCTAAAGAAACTAATCAAGAGGGAGGGCTCTTGCTAAAATGCTCAATTCCTATCCAGAAAGGCAAAGAGGCTGGACATCAGAAGAAGGAGAAAAGAGGGAACAAGTCAGGAGCTTCACACAGAGGCTGAAAGGCTCTGAAAGGCTCTGCCCTGCAGAATATCAATGCAGATGCTGAGACTTAGGGCAACCTTTGGGCAGAGTGCAGGAAATCTTAGGAAAGAAGTGGGAAACAGTAAGATCTGGAAAAGACAGGAACTCTATAAGGAGAGCAACAGAACCAAAAAATCTGAGCACAGGGATCTTTCTTGATACTGATACTCCAACCAAGGACTATGCATGGAAATAACCTAACACCCCTGCACAGATGTAGTCCATGGCGGTTCAGTATCCTAGTGGGTTCCATTATAATAGGAACAGGGACTGTCTCTGACATGAACTGATTGGCCTGCTCTTTAATTACCTCCTCCTGAGGGGTAAGCAGAATTACCAGGCCACAGAAGACAATGTAGCCACTCCTGATGAGACCTAATTGACTAGGATCAGAAGGAAGGAAAAGAAGACCTCCCCTATCAGTGGACTTGGGGAGGGGCATGCATGCAGAGGATGGAGGAAGGGAGGGATTGGGACGGGAGGAGGGAGGGAACCACAGGGGGGATACAAAGTGAATAAAGTGTAATTAATAAAGAATTAAAAAAAAAAGACTTCTGGGTCGACTAAAGATATTTGTGTGTAGATGATGTATGTTAGGGGGAGTTGTGTGTGTGTGTGTGTTGTGTATGTTTGTGTTGCATGCTTATGAGTGTAGGGGTGCACAAGCCCATCTATATACATATATACAACAGGCTAGACAGGATTTTGAGTATCTTCCCTTACCACTCTCTGCCCTAAGACAGGCTCTCCCGCTGAACTGGAAGCTCACCATTTGGCTAAGTTCACTGGCCAGCTAGCTCTCGGATCTGCCTGTCTCTCCCCTCCAGTGACCGGGTTATATGTAAACTACATGCCTGGATGCCCAGCTTTTTATGGGGATCCAAATTCAAGCCTGTGTATTTGCAGTGCCAGTATTCTTAACAACTAAACCATCTCCTAAAGACATTTTTAACAGACCAACAACCTGAAAATATAAGCTCCATGATAACTGTCTTCATACCATTTCAGTCAAAAAGTAGGACAATGATAGGTATACTAACAGAGACCAAATGAGCACTTCTTTTTTGTTTGGTTTATTTTGGTGCAATTCTGGTGATTTATATTAGGGCTTTAAGTGTGCTGAGCATGTACACTTAGCATCAAATACATTCCAAACCCAACATTAGATGAATAACTCTTTACCCTGATATGAGGTAAAAATTATGTTACACTATTTTGTCAACATATAATGTTCTCTTTAAGATATATATATTTATTTATGGTAATAGAAAGATGGCTCATCAGTTAAGAGCACCTGCTGCTGTTCCAGAGAATCAAAGTTCAGATCCTAGCGCCCAAGTAAGGTGGCTCACAACCACCTGTACGTAACACCAGCTCCAGGGAATTTGATACCCTCTTCTAGCCTCTGCATGTACCCATATACATGTGGCATACGTTCGTAAATACACATAAATAAAAAGTAAAATAAACAAGAAAATTAAAATATGCATAGAGAGAAAGGGGGGGTATCTGTGTTTGTGTGCACACATACACACAGGTTTGCAGGCACCCTGGATCAAAAGCACAACTGTCTGTAACTCCAGTTCCAGGAGATCTGATGACGCCCCCGCACACACACACATACATGCATAAAAGCAGGCAGAACATCAATGTACATAAAATAAAAATAATTTTTAAAAAAATTGAAGACATTAACTGCTCTCCCAACATATAGAGTAACTTTTTAGTTTTGTTTAGTAATAAATTACACTTATAAAACCCATACCCACCTGTATTAACTGTTTGCATTTCTCTAGATTTTCCAGTTTAATAATCTGATTTTTATCCAGAATCAATGTGTGAACATCAGCTTCACAGGGCAAATTGGGACCTAATTTCTGTAGTCCCTGCCCTGACCAGTTCACCACTAATCCTTGAGAAGAGAAAACAACTTGTTAGAAAGTAAATATGACAGTTGAGCTTAGCATTTTACACTGGGTGAAAAAAAAAAAATACATATGTACTTTTAAAATACACCAGAGCACAAGTATCAAGAGTTTAAAACCACACTAGTCCAGAACTGTGATGACACATTTTCCCTCAGAATTTAAAGTTACAGGCTAGGGATATAGCATGCATGGCCCTAAAAATCGCATTTAAAAAACAGAACTAAGCCAGACTGGATGGCAAATGCCTGTAATCCAAGCACTCTAGGAAGCAAAGGCAGGCTCTGTGAGTTCGAGGCCAGCCTGGCCTACAAAGTGAGTTCTAGGATACCCAAGGCAACATAGTGAAATCCTGTCTCAAAAAAACAAAAAAACAAAAACAAACAAACAAAAAAAGGACTAAAGTTTCCTTTGGAGAAACTTTTTTCTCTTTTTTCTTGAACAAGGTATTTTGTTTCTTTGGTTTCTTTGGGTTTTTTTTTTTTTTTTTTTTTGGAGGTAGGGAGGGATGTTGGTTGTTTTGTTTATTTGTTTGGTGTTTTGTTTTGTTTTTTTCCAGAGACAAGGTTTCTTCTCTGTGTAGCCCTTGCTGTCCTGGAACTAGACCTGTAGACCAGGCTGGCTTCAAACTCAAAGATCCACCGGCTTCTGCCTCTTGAGTGCTGAGATTAAAAACGTGCACCACCACCACTCATCTTATCCCCTTTTTATCCTTCAATGTTCTTCTTTTCTTTTGGATTGTTTTTTTCTTTTGCTGTTGTTTTCTTGTTCTGAGACAGGGTGTGATCCTGACCAGGCTAGCAAAAAACTCACTGTATGTGGAGGCTGGATTTGAACTCCTGATCTTCTTTCCCCCACCTCCCAAGTACTGGGATTTCACAGCAATCCCTGAGACTGAATTTTTCTTTTTTTTATAGCGACCAAACTCTTTATAAGCTAACTACAAGTGCCCCAAGTGTTGTGTATGTATGCGGGGGAGGGTATACATCATGCATGCCCAAGAAGGCCAAAGGAGAATGCTGGGTATCCTGCTCTGTCACTCCTTATGCTCTTGACACACAGTTTCTCACTAAACCTGTAGGCCTATAGCCAGGCTAGAAGTGAGCAAGCCTCCATAGCACTAGGTGCTGGGAGCTTTTTACATGAATGCTGGGCATTTGAACTGCAGTTCTCATACTTTCTCTGTAAGTACTCGTACCCACTGGGCTATCCCCACACTTGTTTTTTTCAGGCAGTGTCTCTCACTGGCCTGGAGCTCATAAAACAGGGCAGGCTACTTGGCCAGAAAGCCCCAAGGATCTGTGGATATCCACCTTCCCAGATTGAGATTGGAAGCTCCTGCCACCAAATTCAACTTTTTTTTACCAGGGTTTTGAGGATTGAGCTCAGGTCCTCATGCTTGCACAGCAAGCACTGTGCCAACTAAACTATCTCCTCAGTTGCTTCAAAATATTTTAAAAATCAAAGTATAGTTAGTTAATTAATTAAGAAAATAAAATGATTCTCTGATTTCACAAGATTGCAGTCAGTACTCAACTAAAGCACTGTAGCATGAATTCAAACTGTAGCTTCCCTGCCTGACCACTATAAACAAGTTTCCTTTTCTTTTTCTCATTTATTTTTCATAGAATGAAAGCCCCCAAAATTAAGGTGGTGTTGGCAGGTTTGGTAACTGAGACCTCTCTCCTAGAGGCTGGCCTCCTCACTGTCTTCCACATGTGCAAATCGCTGGTTGCTCTTAGCCTCTCCCACCTCCACTTCCTCTTGGATCCAGTTAACTTTTCTGCAATATAAAATTCGGATAGCAGCAGTATAAAATAACAACTAGCTGTGATGACGCACACCTTTGATCCCAGCACTCAGGAGGCAGGGACAGACAGAGATCTCTGAGTTTGAGGCCAGCCTGGTCTACAGAGCCAGTTGCAGGATACCCAGGGATGCAAAAAGAAACACTGTCTCAGAAAAAAAAGAAAAAAGAAAAGAAAGAAAAAGAACGTCGATGAGCAGTACACACCGTTAATCCCAGCACTAGGGAGGCAAAGGCAGGAGGATTTGTGTGAGTCTTAGGCCAGTCCCCGGCTACATAATGAGACCCTGTGTAAAAACAAATAAATAAAAAATAAATAAATCAAGTATGCACTATAAACATTGTTCTACATAAAAACATGAGATAATGTAAGAAAAGCACCCAAAATATCATCTGCCTCTTTTTTAAAAAAATGGCTCTGTTGTCTGTTGTCTTGGTGGGGTAGGGAGGTTTACGAACGGCACTATCAGGGGGGCGGGGCCAGGGTAACTGCCAATTTCAAATTTAGGATCAGACTGGGACTACCGTGGAAAGTAATTTTTCGGGACTGCTCTTCTGGAGGGTTTTAATGTTTTCCGGTCTTCTTATCACGTTGAGGCGTCGTGAGCCCCTTCTTTAAGATGAAAACTATGCTGTCCCGGAAAAGCGCACCTAGCGTTCGCCCACAATTCCGAAGGGTCGACACATCTTTTAGCAGAACTCCTCACCACAAGAATTCAGGGTCTCCGGGTTATGAGTCCCGACTCTACCCTGGTGTGTCCTGATCCAGCCAGCTGCTACCACGCCTCAGAGTGTAACCAAAACAAAAGCTCAGGTCCGGCGCCCCACGGAGCCATCATCTCCCAGGCTCAGGCGCACCCCCAGCCTGCACTCTGCCAAACAAAGACCAAACTCGACCCCATTACCCAGCCTTCAGAATGACAGGGGAGCAATGCGCGTCTGGGTCACCCCAGATTCTATCACAGGTACTGGTCACTTTCAAAGAAGAGTTTAGGCAGCCTATGATGCGGTATCAGACAAGATGCTTCCTGAACGTTCTCGGAACCGACGAGAAGGGGGGCGCGGGAAATAAAGAGACTCTGACAATTCCCGTGGGCACTCAGAACTCAAAGTGTATGTCCCAGAAAGGTTGCCGCAGTCCGAAGCCCACTGCCCAGTCAGGCTAAGGAGAGCGCGGGACGGGGGCGCCGGGCACCGCGAAGGCTACTGGGGGGTGAAGTCCCTCATCCAGCCTTCACCGCAATGCTGCCGGACTGGACCAGAGAGTGGGACTACAACTCCCAGTAGGTAGTGCGCCTCCGCGCTGACTACAGCCCCTCATCAAAAGAACTGGTCCAAAACTACCCCTCTAAACCCAGGTTTTCTCTTTACACCAAGCAACTATTTTAATATGACTTTGTGAAGTAAACTTTGGGATTTAGGGGTGGGTAGCATCATACCTTCTCCCGGAGCCAGAGCTCCGTCGGCTCGCGCCACCGCCATACTTGCCGCTTGCTAATGACACCAGGCAACCGTCTTCAGCCGTTCTGTAGGGCTTGAAGTCAGCAGTGGGGAACTGCAAACTACAACTCCCAGGATGCACAGCAGTCAGCCGGCCCAATTGGCTGCCTGAAGGGACTCGAGAAGAAGAGGCTGGGAAAGAGCTTAGGGAAACCCGGACACCTACCTATCTATAGTTGATCGGTGAGCAAACTGCATTGTTAGATAAACCATTTCATTCCAGCCCAGGTGTTTGGGAAATTTGACACTTTTTCCACCTGGCACACTATAAGAACGTTGTTTAAAATAAACTGGTTTTGGAAGCTCATTGTTAGCAGCTACCCATTTTGACAATTCTGGATTAAGTTTAAAAGGTTTCAGCTTCGCTGTAGGAATGATAGTAAACGTTTTGAAATAGTCAAAATGGATACATTGTATTTGCAATTTTACCTAGTTAAATAGATTTAAAGCTTCAGAAAAAGACATTTTTTGTTTTAAGTGGTAGTTCTTACACACTGAACAGAACTTTTGACCAAGGAAGAAGTATATTTGATACGTAAGTGCCCAGAAATTTCTCTGTAGTATTAAAAAAAAAAAAAATAGAAGTTAAAAATAGGTTCCAAAGTCAGGAATACTTGCTTTGTCTGGTTGGAAGGGCACAGGCTTATCCTTTTTTGATTTAACTAAACTCAGTGAAAAAAAAAAAAAAATGGAAATTACAATCTTTGAGAAAGAAGGATAGGGAAAGTGAAAATAAGCTGGGGCTTAAAAGGTAACTCAATAGCACAAAAGGAGCTCCACTTTCTTCCACCAACTGCTCTACATACTGAAAGCCACTCTTGCTGAACTGGCTCTCCAAAGTCTAAGCATTTCTGTTCACAAAAATCCAGTAACTTGATTCTAGCTCTTCGGGCTCATAATTCTAACAGTATTTCCTCTTTCTGGGTTCCCTCTTTTCTTTGACATCATTGCTCTTAAAGACCTTTTCTGTTTCCCATTGCTTCAGTCTAAAGATAATTTTCTAATTCTGAAGAAAGATTAAGAATTCCCTTTCCTGGACCTGCAGAGGCTGATGAATCAACCAAGAACCACGCATGGAGAGGACGTAGACCCCCCTGCTCAGATGTAGCCCATGGGAAGCTCAGTCTGCATGGGGGTACCCTAGTAAGAGGTGCAAAGACAGTCGGTGGCATGAACTCGGTGGCTGGCTCTTTGATCACCTCCCCCGAGGGGGTGCAACCTTTGGGCAGAGTGTAGGGAATCTTATGGAAGAAGGGGGAGATAAAAAAGACCTGGAGGGGACAAAAATTCCACAGGGAGACAAACAGAGCCAAAAAATCTGGGCCCAGGGGACCTGCAAAGACTGATGAATCAATCAAGGACCATGCATGGAGAGGACCTACACCTCCTGCTCAGATATAGTCCATGGCAGCTCAGCCTTCATATGGGGGCTCCCTAGTAATGGGTAGTCACTGGCATGAACTCTGTTGCCTCCTCTTTGATCACTTCCCCCTAGCAAGAGAAAGAGGATCCAGACAGTCCTGATGAGACCTGATAGGCTAGGGTCAGATAGAATGGGGGGAGGACCTTCCCTATTAGTGGACTAGGGGAGGGCATATGGAAGGATGAGAGAGCAAAGATGGGACTGGGAGGAGATGAGGGAGGGGATTACAGCCAGGACATATAAAATAAAAATATCCTTTGGGTTGAGAATATGATTCAGTGGTAAAATGTTTGCCTAGGATGTAAAGAGCCTGGTTTGATCCCTAGCAGTTCCAGATAGCAAAAATCAAAAACGGTAAACAAACAACAGTGTTACCTGTAGATGACACTTTGTAGATGACAGTGTACTGTAATGTCAGAAATAGAAAATGCTATTCCCAAATAAATACGCTTATTCTTTGGAGAAATTTTGTTTTCTGATGTCAATGGTTTATCTTTTTTTTATTGTTACTTTTGTTGTTATTGTTGTTTTGAGACAAGGTGCCACTATGCAGCCAAGGCTAGCCTTGACATACTTCTTACCTGCCTTAACCACTAGAGTGCTGGTGTTACAGGTTTGACCTACCACGCTTGGCTCTTTCTTTTCTTAGATTACATATACTGTGTGTGTGTGTGTACACATGCACAAAGATGCAATGGCACACATGTGGAAATCCAAAGACAACTTTCACAAGTGGGTGGTCATCTTCTACTGTGTGGGTTATGGGAATCGAACTCAGGTCATCAGTCTTGACAGCAAGCTCCTTACTGGCTGAGCCATCTCTCTGTCCCCTCCAATTGTTTTTACTTGTGTTGCCATCAAGAGGAAAGGGTTAGTAGGGAGTGATGTTTATATTTGCTTTTTTTTTTTTTAAAGACAGTTTCTTTATTATGTGGATCTGATTATCCCAGAACTCACTAAGTAGACCAAGCAGGCCTTGAACTCATAAAGATCCACCTGTCTCTGCCTCTGGACCACTGGAATTAAAGGTTTGGGCCATAATACCTGGTTTGCATTGTTTTCATACATATGAAATAGTAAGATTGCTCTTCACTCAATGGCAGGCTCTTAGACCTCCCCACCCCCCAAGGGAGGAGCAGTCCTGCTAGGCCACAGAGGAGGACTTTGCAGCCAGTTCTGAAGATACCTGATAAAACAGGGTCAGATGAAAGGGGAGGAGGTCCTCCCCAATCAGTGGACTTAGAAAGGGGCAGGGAGGAGATGAGGGAGGGAGGGAGGGTTGGGGGGGAATGAGGGAGCAGGATACAGAGTTAATAAAATGTAACTAATAATAAAATAAATAAATAATAAGGCTGCTCTTCAAGGAAAGGGTCTCTTGTTTAAAGGAAGGGGAATTTTTATTATTTTGTTATTGTTATAATTATTATTTATTAAAACTTATTCACTTTGTATCCTCTCTGTTGCCCCCTACTTCATCTCCTCCCAGTCCCACCCTCCTTTCTTCTACTCCCCCAATGTCCCTCCCCTAGTCCACCAATAGGGGAGGTCCTCCTCCCCTACTATCTGATCCTAGCCTAGCTGGATTTTCATGGTTGGAATGGATGAGATCTATTCCCCAACTCAGCTCATCTCCTAAATTATTTTATTATTTTAAGGGAGAATATTATAGTTGTCTTAGGAGACATTGAGGATGCCAGGGCTTTGCTGAGATCCTTTGAAGAGAAGCAGTTTTATCCTGGTCAAAAGAATAGGGTACCTCTTGTCCCAACTGGAGACATGACATTCTGATTGCTCCAAGGAATAGAACATTACATACTATTTATTGTTGCCTAATTTATTAGTTAATCCAACTGGGTGTGGTGGCACACACCTTTAATCCAGCACTTTAAAGGCAGGCAGATCTCTGTAATTGTCACCTTCCACCATATGGCTGGTTGTCTGCCATGAGACTGCTTACAAATGGCATGGATTTCTCTTCTCTCTCCCTCTTCTGTTCTCCTTCTCCCAGTAGGTGCTCATGTTTACAGCTTGACTGACCTGTTGTTTTTCTTTGTTTCAAATGCTAATAAAATTGTTCTGGAACTTCCACATCTGTTTCTAAAATATTTTATTAAGAAGACGAAGATCGCCAGACAAGGTGGCACAGGCCTATAATCCCAGCACTCTGGGAGGCATTGGCAGACAGATCACTGTGAGTTCAAGGCCAGTGTGCTCTACAAAGTGAGTCCAGAACAGCCAAGGCTACAGAGAAACCCTGTCTCAAGGAAGAAGAAGAAGAGGAGGAGGAGGAGGAAGAGAACGAGGAGGAAGATGAGGAAGGACAAGGACAAGGAAGGACAAGGACAAGGAGGAAAAAGAAAATGACTGAGATCCCAAAAGAAGGAAACCCCAGTAACATTATTGAAAAGTACTATTTACATGAGAATCTTTCCTTCAAAATCTACTAGCCTGATTTACTTTTGAATATTTGTATGTGTGTGTGTGTGTGTGTGTGTGTGTGTGTGTGTGTGTGTGTGTGTGTATGTGTGAAGAACAGAAGAGGATACCCAATATGTTTGTAAGCCACCAAAGTGGATTCTGGGAATCAAGGTCAGGTCCTCTACAAGCGCAGCCATCTCTCCAGTCCCCTGGTTTATTTTTTTCATTCTAAGGATCTTTTCAGGGCACCCCACTTTAATTCTAACGACTCTGATATTTCTTTTCCTACCTGAAATGGGCTGTGAGGACTGTAAAGAAAACAGTTCTGTGAAGGGGAAAGGGACTACAAATCTCTATTGGACAAAGTTGTTATTTAGAAAGGTGATCTCCTGATGTTCAAGAGCACAGACTCTTGCACATTTACAATAGTAGCTGGAAGAGAGTTCCGTTTGATTCATCTGCCCTCAGTTCCTGAGGAAAGGGCACAAAGGTCAGATGTTCCCCTATGACCAAGTGACTCCACACTCCTTCACAGGCATGGCACAGACATTCCATTTGTGTTTCAGGAACCAATTTTACATCTAAAGTCAAACTGCTAACCTTTTAACTAAGTTGTCTTCTTTCCTAAATGTTAAGCCCTGCAATTTCTGAATGAATTGGAGAAATCATTCTCCTCATTAAACCTGCAAGCCTCCCAGAAAGGTAGTATTTCTTGGCAAGTCCAGGCTTTTATTTCTATCAGCACTGTATATTCAATCCCCAACTCTCTCTCCCAAATTCATCTGCCCACTGTAACTGGAATGATCCAAGCAAGACAATGCCATTTATCACATCAATCTTCCCCTTCAAAAACTTCCCACTTGAAATTCAACTTTCCAAGGCCAAACATAAATTGGCCTCACTAGACCTTCCCACTATTCATTCCATTCATTTTCATTTGGTGCCTTTCACTGAAGGACAGACACAAAGAAACCTGTATTTACAAAAGTTAAACTGCTCATATAACAAGGATTAGTTGAAAGGTAGAAGAGCTCCGGAAGGAGATTTATAACACAGAAACTTCCAACAAGGTTCCAGGAAAGGATTATATACAAAGTTCAGATAACACATGGTGAAGAGACTAAGTCAACACAGGACTGCGATAGCA